CAAACTAGAGTAAAAGTCATGTTATTTGTAATACCCCAAGAGGTATAAAAGGACTTGGTTTTAGACCAAGTCAGAATTAAGTTCATAACAATCTTTTAATTATTGATCTAATAATTAATACTTCCTAAAACATTGTAATAATATTATTATTATCGCTAATAAAACACATAACATATTTTACCCTAAATAATAATCTCTAATTAATTGATAAACCTTTGCTGCCCATAGCAGTTAACCAGTATCTCAACTATCAAGAGACATCTCAAGGGGACGCCTTTGGGATATAATTACATATATAGAACCTAGGGACCCTTTTATCTGCAAAGATAAGAGTTATATTTTTATTAATTTTTGACCATAAATCAGCGAGTAGGCTGTGTGTCAAAGAATAGAATCAACCATAAGTCAGCAAGGAGGCTGTGTGTGGAGCTATAAATAACCTATTAAATAGGAAACTTGGATTGCACGCTCGCAATACTAACGAAGGTTTTATTAGTTTGTATAGGAGTAATTGAAGTAAACGTTAAGGACAAGTCTATGAGCAAAATATACTAACAAAGGTTTTATCAATCATTCAATAGTTTATGTAGGAGTAATCGAAGTAAGTTTTAAGGACAAGATCTATAACAAATATTCTAATGACATTTTATTAATTATTTAATAGTTTATGTAGGAGTAATCGAAGTAAACGTTAAGGACAAGTCTATGAACAAAATATACTAACGAAGGTTTTATCAATCATTCAATAGTTTATGTAGGAGTAATTGAAGTAAGTTTTAAGGACAAGATCTATGAATAAAATATTCTAACGAACATTTTATCAATTATTCAATAGTTTATGTAGGAGTAATCGAAGTAAGTTTTAAGGACAAGATCTATGAAGTTTACAAAATATCCTAATGAACGTTTTATTAATTATTCAATAGTTGATGTAGGAGTAATCGAAGTAAGTTTTAAGGACAATATCTATGAAGTTTACAAAATATTCTAATGAACGTTTTATTAATTATTCAATAGTTTATGTAGAAGTAATTGAAGTAAGTTTTAAGGACAATATCTATGAATAAAATATTCTAACGAACGTTTTATTAATTATTCAATAGTTTATGTAGGAGTAATCGAAGTAAACGTTAAGGACATGTCTATGAACAAAATATACTAACGAAGGTTTTATTAATTATTCAATAGTTTATGTAGGAGTAATCGAAGTAAATGTCAAAAACAAAATATTCTAACGAAAGTTTTATTAATTATTCAATAGTTTATGTATGAGTAATCGAAGTAAGTTTTAAATAGTTTATGTAGGAGTAAACGAAGTAAACGTCAAGAACAAAATATTCTAACGACGTTTTATTAATTATTCAATAGCTTATGTAGGAGTAATCGAAGTTTTAAAGACAAGATCTATAACAAAATATTCTAACGACATTTTATTAATTATTCAATAGTTTATGTAGGAGTAATCGAAGTAAACGTCAAGAACAAAATATTCTAATGAAAGTTTTATTAATTATTCAATAGTTTATGTAGGAGTAATCAAAGTAAACGTCAAGAACAAAATATACTAACGAACGTTTATTAATTATTCAATAGTTTGTGTAGGAGTAATTGAAGTAAATGTTAAGGAAGGACAAGATCTATAAACAAAATATACTAACGAAGGTTTTATCAATCATTCAATAGTTTATATAAATTTATCCTTTATTTTAACTTGCATTTAATAATATCACTATAATCATTATTGTTGTTGTTTGTTGTTCTAATCATTTACATATGTAATTTATATATTTAGCACTTGACGATCTAAACCAAATGTCAAAATTAGTCTAATAAATTAAATTGTGCTACTTGAAGATGTATTTAAAGGGTTGGTTTTCGACTTGGTCAAAGGACAACTCTCTTTCTAACTCTTCTCTTGACCATATCTCTCGATATAACTTCGAAACTACCTTGATATAACACGAAATGATTGTTGATGAAGTAAACGTGACCAATTTAAGAGACAAATTTATTTAATAAAACAAAAAATGATTTTTTTGAATGTTCTAGTAAATTTTCCATTGTTGTCATATCATCCCGTTGTTGGTTCAACATTACTCAAAGTTTAATTTAGTCGTTTTCTTACGTTAAATATCGCATTATGAAATAATTAATAATTAATAAATATGACAAAACGTAACACGAATACAAATACAAATAATTCATACGAATAGTATTGATCGGAATATTTTATAAATTCCTTATATTACAAATTAAAAATGTGCAAAAATTTTAGAAATTAAAAATGACCCGAAGCCTATTTTGATTATTTTGTCAATTGAATAAAGGAAGAAAAAAAACTTGATGTACAACAAACAAACACACATTTCTAATTGTTTAAATAAAATCAGATATATTGTATACTTTTTCAAGTTAGCAAGTGATTGGTAACAATAACCAATTTGATTTTAAAATTAAATACTAAAATTATCAAATAAATAATGCATGTAACAAAAAAAAATTTATTATTATTATTATTGTTTTTTTAAAAAACAAGTTATAGAGCATGCATAATTATGATGCTAGCCAAAAATTGACAAAAATTTTTATTTAACACGATATTATTATTATACTTTTGTAATTAAAGTACAAAAAAATTCGTCTGATGGCTTGGTTTCTGGTCTAATATACCTACCTCTGTATAAAAAATGTTGAAAAACCCAACTCGACAAAATAGTTTGAATTTTGAGAAACAGCTTGGGCTAGAAACCTTACTTGATTGTCAGACCCATGTAATCATACGATTTTAATAATTTCAAAAACTAATTTTCGATTTAATGATTTAGCGTAACCATTTAATTTATTTATTATTAGTATAATTTACATTTGTATGATTGTAATTAGATATTATACATTCCTGATTGAATTCAGAAAATTCAGGTAAAATCAGAGTGCTAATTAGTTTGCAAGTATACGAATAACTCAAATTTATGTATCATGAAAGGAATATTACCAATTTGTCTGATACACACACTCTACTAAAAAACAATAATTATTACCAATACTAAAATATTCAATGTCAATACTGTTGCCATCACTATCATCACCTCATTTATCATTAGTACGATACATAAGCCGACGAAATAATTTTCGACGAAATGAACTGTCGACGAAATAATTTTCGACGAAATGAACTTTCGACGAAATGAACTTTCGGCGAAATGAACTTTCGGCAAAATGAACTTTCGGCAAAATGAACTTTCGGCAAAATGAACTTTCGACGAAATGAACTTTCGACGAAATGAACTTTCGACGAAATGATTGTCGACGAAGTGATTGTCGACGAAGTGATTGTCGACGAAGTGATTGTCGACGAAATAATTTTCGACGAAACAAACTTTCGACGAAATGAACTTTCGACGAAATGAACTTTCGACGAAATGAACTTTCGACGAAATGACTTTCGACGAAATGATTGTCGACGAAATAATTTTCGACGAAGTAAACGGGACCGGGTGAAAGTCTCCCTTAAAAGGGAATGATATTGAAACGTTTCATTTTTTGACTGGAGAACCATTAGCCATAGACTTGGCTCCAAAAAGGTTGAAGGAAAACCTGAAAAAATAAAGGATCTTATATTAAATAAAAAGTTCATATCTTTCTCCCAAGACCAATGATCACATTGGAAGACTCAATTGATTACCAAATAGAAATGCAAATACTTAATTATAAGGAGTATCCAGGATTGAAAACAATAAGCAATTGAACATAATTGCAAGAGCAATATTAATTTATCCTGATAGTAAAATTCTGGAAACAAATTGGTTACCATGACATATGTAAAGATGTCAATAATTTGGTGTTACAGGGTTCTTTGTTAATTTTATTTTACAAAAATGAAGTTTATGATTATCAACTGGACTTTGTCAAACATATACAACAATTAGTAAAAGTTGGGTTCAAATTAGAGAGTTTTGCAACTGTGCGAAAGTCAAAAGTTTTGCCATAAGTCAAAACTAGTTTTGATTTTTGACTACTGACTTATGATTTAGTTTTGACATATAACTTTTAATTTTTAGTTTTGACTTTCATCTCTTCAAAATAGTTTTGATGACCAACACTAATTCAAATTGACAAAATCTGTCATGACTGATATTCTAATTTTATATGAACAACATATTGATAAAATTGGAAGAGCATATAGACATTCAGTACTGTACTCTTTTGCATTCCTGTACTGTATGGTCTACAAAAATAGAAAAAGTCATACACCAACATATAGTACACAGCACCCCCACCAATCAAATGGATTCTGTACTCGTAACATTTAATACAGAAATGCTAATTTACAGATCATACAGTACAAGAATGCAAAAGTGTACAGTACTGTATGTCTACTGACTGAGTTGGAATGACACTTTTAGAAGCTTTTCAAATTGTTAGAAATCAATCAAAATCTGATATTGTTGGATGTTGTGTTGTAGAAGCTATTAAAGTCAACAGAAATTTGAAAAAACCTCAAGTTTTAGATTTTCTAAGAATGCAAATTGAAGATAATTGTTTAGAACTTGTATTTCTTAAAGCACTAGTTTATCATTATTTTGATAATAAGACCAGGATAAAATTAATTGATTTTCAAATTTTTGATAAAAATAGATCTTCTGCCTACAACACTGACAGTTTAATTAGCAGCAATAATATAAGTAATATCAATATTATAGATAACATCAATGAAGAATCTATTAATTATTATTATAAATATGATTATTATTATGACTATGGTTATAACTATTATCCACATGATATCAAGGATTTAAGGAATGGTTACTATTGGACAGAATATTATGTTGACAGATTGATATGTGATGATACTTGTAAATTTATAAATTCAAATATTGAAAAGCCAATTAATAATATAAGATCATTGAGATTAAGCAGTCATTTGTATAAATGGGTGTTAAGAAAATTCAATCCAGATTCATTAATCACAAGATTATGCTTCAATGATATAATTATATCAAAGGTATGGATTGATAGAGAGTTGTCACTCCATCTTGAAAGATCAATACCAGGAAGAATGACTAGTTGTGCATTTGATTTAATTATACATACTTACAATGAATTTTGTCAGAATAATGTTCCATTTGAATTGATCCATTTAAATTTATTAAAGAAATCAAACAATATAACAACTTTAAAACCATTTTTTGAAGGTTTTTTACCCCAAATATTTAATCTAAAACCAACTTTTAAATATAATAGCAGTATCAGTACCAGGAGTGGTGGATTGAAAAAACAACAACTATTACAAAATCGGCCTCTTTTTAAACTGCTTGATGTTCATGAGAAGAAAATTGAAGTTGAAAAGAGAACAACATTATGGTTTTCTGAGTTGGAAAAAGTTTATCAAGAAGTAACAATGCAATTAAATACAAATGCACATAATAATCAATTCACTTTGAATTTTGTATTTTGTATGAGAAATTTTTGGAATAGACTTATAGCAGAAACTGATTATATTAACAAACCTAAATCAACAAAAAGAAAAATTGGGACATTGGCACAACTTGGAACAGAAAATGAATTGGGGATCAATAAAAGAAAGAGAAATTTGTATAGGAAACTTAGATAGAAAACTTGAAGAAAGAAAAATATTATTAATATTTTTTCACTACCATTATTATTATTATCTTTAATGCTTAATGGAAATATCCTTTTAATATAATTATGCCACATATGAATATTCATATTTGTATATGATTATATAATTATATCTTCTAACTGAATTAAGATTGCTGAGATTTTTTTGGCAATGGTTATTCTTTAAGATTTATATTATATTATTATATATATATATATATATATATATATTATATATATACACATAATTATTTTAAAAAAAAATTAAGTTTTATCATTTCACATACTTGCTGAAAGATAAAATTCACCCTCTTTACACTTGTGTAAATGTATTGAACATTTAAAGGTAAGTGTTTGAGAGTGTTACTCAATCTTTAAAAGAGTATATAGTATGATAAATCTTATGAATTAAAAATAATTAAAGATCACATTTTATAAATTATAAAACATCACTAATAATTATTACTTAATTTTCAAGTATAATAATAGGAATGGAGGAAACATCACTAATAATTATCACTTAATTTTCAAGTATAATAATAGGAATGGAGGAAACATCACTAATAATTATCACTTCAAGTATAATAATAGGAATGGAGGAAGAATCACACAGGGCTTTCATCACATCTTAGGGTCATTTTCCTTGATCTCTATTTCCTTTACATTTATTTATTTTCTTTTATTCATTGTGATAATATAACTATTGTTTTAAACTTTTATTATTATTATTATTATTATTATTATTATTATTATTATTATTATTATTTTATTATCTATCTTTTATTCATTTTTAATCCCTCTTTTTTTTACTATATAGAAGCTTTAGTATATTCATCCAAATAAACAGGTTTGTATATAAGATGCTTTGGGTTAAAAAATTTTTTTTGCGCAACCAGGATGTAGTCTTACCATAACCTGGAAACTTTCAATTTATTATTACTTTGATCTATTCAATTTCATTATCTATCGCCATCAACCCCAACCTTAATATAACTGTTACCATCTTCAAATTTTCATTTGACCATGATGCAGTAATGTTGAGCTTGTCACCACATAAAAAATTTTTTTTAGGAATTTTAATTTAAAAAATTTTATTTGTGCCTTAACCTTAATTTTTTGTTGCAAATTTTAGAAAAATTTCTCTCCTAAACGGAATTAAAAAAAAAATTAAAAAAACTAAGGTTTAAACAGAAAATTTTTTTATCTACACTGATTATCTTTCTACATAAAAAATTAGATCATCTGGATCAAATCTTTTATTCCACGATATATGTCGTAAAGATATTCATACTTATTCAAATGATGTCTTGTATTTTTTGATTCATCTGTTCAACAAAATACTTTGTAAACCCTGATGTTTTTGCATGATCTAAAATGATAAATGATGTCTTATGGATATTTGAATATTAATATTCATTGTACCAAATTAGGAATGTCGTATATGAATGGTTATTCGAATTAAAATTAGAATTATTTGTTTTATTCCATTATACATAATAATAACCATAAAAAAAAATTTTTTTCTCTAATATATTAATATATAGCAATAATATTTTTATGGAAAATCAAAATGACAAAGGTCGTTGAATTAAATGCTAGGGATTTTTGATTCGGCATTAAGAAAACGGTAAATCCCGTTTTTTTAATGCTACACTACGTTTCTTAATACACGTTTTTTAATTAATGTCACACGTCATTTCCTAAAAATGCTACACACGTTTTTTTTTATTTGATGCTACGCACGTTTTTTATTTAAATGTTACGCGTCATTTCCTAAAAATGCCACACACAGTTTTTTTTATTTGATGCTACGCACGTTTTTTATTTAAATTTTACGCGTCATTTCCTAAAAAATGTTTTTTCCTTAACTGCACTATTATCATGAAATGAATGAATGAAATGAATGAATAAAATGATTTAATTATGGAAGGGGATACTTCTTGCCTGAATATACCAGTCTCTGATAATTAATAAATAAATGTTATTATCATTATCATCATCAAAATATTGTAGAAGTCTATAAGCATAGTTGATAACAGTTCAAGACAAATTAATTGATTATGTAAATGGTCATAATCTTCAGATTGTAATAATGCATTTGTTGCATGAATAATAACATTTTGTGCATGATCAAGAAATTGAATCCGTGATTCGCCCATTATATTTAGTCATAAAATTTATTTAAAAAAATAACTTATTCTTTTTATATTTAAATAATTTACATTTTTATTTAATAAATTTACACAGAATCTTAAAAAGAACGACAGTAGAATTTAAAAGAATGAAGTTTTAGCATACAACCCATAATAATAATAATAAATTTCCGAAATGCCGAAATTAATTTCGCTTTCGGTAATTGGCTAAATTCACAGTTCTGTGATAAAGAAGCTTTCTTTATTGGCTGTTAGTTGTGTAATAAATATTAAAACAATAAGTAGTAAATAGAGTTAGAAATGAAGCTATTTTGGGAGGAGAAATGTAAGTCGAAACTTAAAAACTTGTTTCTGCTTAAACAAACTAATTTTTATACAAGTTTAACAATGACAGGAGTTTACAAAACTTTTTTATTGGTTATTTCATTTAATAACATTTATGACGCACACTAGTAAATCAGATATTCCGCCATTTCGCAAATATTTCGTCATTTCTGAAATAAATGCTAAAAATTCGAAATATATCGGAACATTAGATTTCGCCCACAGCATTAGATTGATCAAATTTCAAATCTTCTTCACCATCATATAATTTGCATTTAAATTACAATATATATATATTGCGTACTTGGCTATTTTGAATTTGTTTATTTTATATACATATTATATACTTTGAATAAATAGACATTTTATTTTATTTATTGTTTAAAATACAAATATTCTAATAATTTGTTTTTTTTTCCTTGAGCGTAACAAGATCATTCGCATCATTTAACCTTGAAAAAAGAAAATAAAAATTAATTAATATATAATTCTTAATATGATGGTAATAAAACAATATGATATAATGTTTTCTGTTTTGTCACGTAACGAGATTGTTCGCCATCAGATTAATTTTTTGGCTTTTCTTCTTGAAATAAAGTTAATAATTAATATTATAATTCATAATATGATAATAGTAAAATGATAAGAACATTTTCCATTTGTTGCATAACACTGTATACTGCACATAGTTCCAGTTTCACAAATATAACCAGGAAGACGAGAGCTTTCCTTATTTTCATGTACTATACTATTTCAACGTAAAAATCATGTCCATTCAAATGGATAGGAAATACTTTTATGGTATCAAAAGATTGCTATCAATGGTGAGAAAATGGTTCATGGTGTAATTCAATTATTATTTAAAAGAGCGACAGGAATATAGACTTTAGGAAATTAGTTCCAAATTTTCTATTGAAAATTGAAAATTGCAACTAATTCATTGTTATTTTGATCAAACCTTGCTGTAACGGGCCATTGTTGTAACGGATTTTATATATTAATATGGAGAAAATTTTTGAAAGTTAGTTATAACTAATGATGTCAACTGATAAGTTTTTGCCAGATGATAAACATTAAAAACAAATTTCAGTTATAAAGATTTGTCTGATTACTAATAAATGGATAAATTATTTCAGATGTTGAAACTTCATAAATAGTTTTAACATGTTATATATATATATATATTATCAAAATTTACATATTGATTATACAATCAACACACTTTAATTTATATTATATGAAAATAATCAAAATTTTTATATTGAAAAAAAATTTATTTATATAGCTCGATTATATATGTTAAATTTCTTTTATTTTAATTATACATCGAGTATTATAATCCATATTTCCCAACCGGATTTGATTATCTATATTATTTTTCATTAATGTATTAGCTTGCAATTGAACATCTTGGTTTCGATCATTTTAATAATAAAATTGTGAACAAAGGTTTATAATGAAAAGAAATCTATTTTATAAATATCACAAGGCTATAATTTTGACTTTAGGCACGGGCTCACAAAACTATTAATTATAACATTTCTGACTTTAGGCACGAGCTTTAGCAAACTATTAATCAAACTTCATTATCAACTGAAACTAAATTGCTGAACGCCAAAACTTTTTTATCATTTAAATTAACATCATCATTAGTTATAACATGTTACACTTTGTTATAACGAGGTTCGACTATGTCGCTATATTGTTGTCAAAATTAGCCCAATCAGAATTTTGTATCTCCCAAAATTTTATAATTTCAAATTCACATACAACATTACTATCATAAATATAAACAAGGAATTTTTATAATTTCAAATAGGTGATCAGCATTATGATGATAATAAAAATATTTGAAATCTGTATATCGAAAACTCCTCCTTTTTGGGTACCAAAATCGAAAGTATTTTTGAACATTTACAAGTTTGAAACCTATACCAAAATTCAAAAGCCATACCAAAATTCAAACCTGGACTGAAAGTCAAACAATGAATACATTTGACTAAAATCGCTTATTTTATTTAAATTCTTTTCTGACAATTTTAATCAACTTATCAAAAATCATTATCAAAATTTATAATTAATCTTATTATTAACTGTTTCTTTTCGTTTTTGTTTTCATCGTCCGCATCATTATCATCATTTGTTCATAATCATTTATTCTATTTCAAAATATAATCATTTGTATCACCACAAGTTTGCAGGGTATTGATATTAGTTACTTATGCATCAAGAAGTCTTCCTGAAATTGCTTTTTTCTATTAGATGGTGTCTAAGTAACTTAATAAAATATAACATTAAAAGGTATACCACACATTACAAATGTCCTGATTAATATTATCATTCCTTTCTGTGATTAATGTTCGAATTTATTTATTTGCAACCACCATATTCCTTTGCCAGATGTTTTCAAATTTCTACGGGCACGTCCTGGATAACAATTGAAACCTTTTATTCAAAATAACGTCATTTTGTAGCTTATTTTTGGATACTCATATCTTAAATCTTTATCGGATTC